GAAAAATTCTCTGAATATCCACCACTTGGTCGATTCGCCGTACGTGACATGCGTCAAACAGTTGCTGTTGGTGTTATCAAAGATGTTGAAAAGAAAGCTCCAGCTGCAGCCAAAGGTGGCAAAGCAGCACCTGCTGCTGCCAAAAGCAAAAAATAGCAAATGCAGCATCTTCGCAAACACACATCACGAATAGATCAACTATATTTCTACTTATCACAACTAAGGGCAGTTAATTCTCTAATTGTTGTTCAACTCTTCTTAACTATTTTATGGGAGAGACGACGGCAACCGAAAGATTTTTTCTCTTGGAAGTATAGTTTTCTGTATCCTTCTAATTTTTCCGTTCTTCTCTTCTAATGAGCAAAATTCTTTTCTCTTTCTATAACAAGTTATTCAATTCTTTGAAATATTCATATAACAAGTAGTACTAGTTGTATTTTTTCGTGATGTAAAGATCAGATGTGTTTACGAAATATTTTTTGCATTTAACTTTTTTTGTATTTTTAACAATGAAATGCTATGTAATCGATGTCAACACTTACATTGAAAGAATAAAAAAAAGAATTATTTAATACAATAATATATCCATAAAAATCTAACGCATTCTTTTTTTGCTTTTTATTAGAATTGAATAAGAACATATTTATTACGAGTATGTCTACAATAATAAATTCATTGAGAATTTATATAAGATTAATAATTGTATCTGCAAATAACTGTTACTATCAAATTTAAGATACATTTTTTTATCTTAAAGTTTTTGATTGTTACTAGTGAATTATAAAATGAGAACAAAATATTAAAGCGCTAAATTGTCTATGTAATATGTAATTATAAAAATACAATCAGTGAATATCAATCAATTAGTTATTATTAGTTGAGTTCTATTGCACCACATTAATTTGATATCAATGTTTTAAACGAATACAAAACAAAACAATATTTTTGAGTTATTTTCTAACATGTTTAAATCGCATATTTGGTGAATCTTCGCAACAATTTTTATCTACAGGTGACATGTTTGAAACAATACTTACTCATGCTTCCTTTAAAAATAAGAATCTAACTATCCTATTAGGATCAGCCTTAACATCTAATGTTGTATCATTTCGTCGTGCACTACATGATTTTAAAATGATACATAAAAAAATATTTTCTCAAGAAATAAATCAACTTGATAAACATCATTATACATTTTTATGGTATTTAGCTCAAGCTGGTCTTTATAATTCTATTTATGAATTATACCAATACGCGTCAATCGATTTAAATATTAATATTAAAAATGGATCATTAAATCAAACTATTCTTCATTACGTTGTAATCAACGGAAATCTAGAAGATATTCGAATAGTACTTGATATTCATGTTGATACAAATCTAAACGATCAGTTTGGTCGAACTGCTATTCATTATATAGCATTGTACGATACAAAGCATAAAAATGATATCGAAATAATAAAATTATTGATAGAATATGGAGCTATACCAAAGTATTCATTTCGTATAACTAAATAATTTTATCTTCTTTTCTTTTTCATACAGTTTAGAAGATAATATGTGTCAAACATGTTTACATCATGCAATTATTAAAGAAAAATATGATCTTGTTGAATATTTAATTAGCTTATCAAATATCAATATGTATATTAGAGATAAATATGGTGAATAATGAATATTCGAAATTTTTTTCTATATTTATTTATTTTCAAAGGCTATACTCCAATTTGTTATTTATGTGAAAATATTCTTAAACTATCAGATATTTCATTTGAAAATAAGCAATGTGAAAATAATATTGAACGTATTCTAAAAATACTTAATCTTATTGTCGATCGTTGTCCATCCGATGAACTTTCATCTAATTTTCATATTATAAAAAATGATAAACTTAATGAAAATCTTTTATTACATGTATATCATAAATTTACTAATCTTTCAATATCATTCCATACAAATATTTTATTTACTCGTCTTGAATCCATCATTATCGGTACTAATCAAGATCATTGTTTACTTACTGAACAACTTCTAAAATCTCATTCTTGGCAATCATCAGTAAATGCTCTATGTAATACACATCATGTTAATATATCAAATGCTCTTATTCAATGTATTGCTCATGATCCACATATATTATTAAGTTCAAATATTTCACATTTCTCTGATCTATCGATGTTTTTTGTATTAATATTTTATGCATTAGCAAGTGATGTCAAATTATTACAAAATATTGTACCAATGTGTGATTATTTAATTTTTAAAAATACAAAGAATACAGTAAAATTTATTTTTCTGTGTTTTAATACTATTTTTTCTTGTTAGTGTTATTTCTATATAGATAATTTTAATTTACATACAATTTATACAACATTTATTCATAGTTGTTTACATTATGCAAATTTCAATGTATTTTCACTTAAACATTTATGTCGTTATCATATTCGTTATTATTTAAAATCGAATATTATTAATAAAATAGATCGATATTCAATTTTAAAATTAAAATACTGCAATTATCTTAAATTAAATGAACTTTCAGATATATACTTTAAAACTCATAATTTAGCATATATAATATATCTTATTAAAAGATTAGTTCGTTATATATTTTTTTTCTATTAGAATCATATGATTTTATATATTTTCTAGTATAACATACATCGAGTAGAAGAATACAATCTGTTCGAAAATGACATAAATATTATTAATGATAAATCATTACCAATGAATATAGTTACTATTTCATCTACCATTGATACGTTGTCAAATGAAAATACTATTGAATATTTATCGGAAAGTAATGAAACGATAGAAACAGAAGATGTTAAATCTATTCATTATCGTACAATAGAAGAAATAATGGCAGAATCAGATATATCATCTGATAATTTAGTAGAATCGAAACGTTCATTAGAATTATTCAAAACAAATTCTATTCAAAATATAAATCATAAATCTATATTATCAGATTTAGATGATGAAATATCAATAGAAGAATTTGAAAATGAACTAGCTGATGTCAATACTAAATCAAAATATATTGAAGATATGATTGATAAATTTTTATTGGAAAAATAAATATATACATATATCATAATAATAAAATACTAAGAGTAATTTTTTTTCTTTTTCTTTTATTTTAATTCGTCTGATAAACTACCAATCAATTCTAGAAATCCAATGAGTGAGTCATTTTTATGGGGGTGCTGGAGACAACCCCCCTTTCCTTCTTATTCTTCTTCTTTTTCTACGATAGGGTAGTGAATATAGTCTAAGCGACACACCTGTACTTTTTTACTCTTTAGATTATTATTTCGTAGTTCTATCATTATTAAATATGTCTACCTTACGCGCTAAAGCTGTATTAATTGGTGATGAAGTCCATGTTGCTGGCAATAAAGATCAATGGGGTCGTGGCGGAGCAACATCAGCTGAAGGAAAAGATAGTACATCAGCTGGTTCATCAAAAAAACCAGTTTATGGTGTTATTGAATTTGAACAACAAGGTGATACCGTTGTAATTACAGGTAAAATCGAAGGACTTAGCGAAAATACACAACATGGTTTCCATATTCATGAATTTGGTGATGTTAGCAATGTAAGATTTTTTTAATTTAAATAGATTAAGATTTTTTAAGTTTTTATTTAATAGGGATGCACATCAGCTGGTGCCCATTTCAATCCACATAAAAAACAACATGCTGGTCCTGAAGATACTGACCGGTAAATTTATTATATTTTTATTTTATTAAAATTTAGATTTATTCTATTTTTAGACATGTTGGTGATTTAGGAAATATTCAAACAGATGCTAGTGGTGTTGCTACAGTAAATATCAAAGATAAAATGATATCTCTCAATGGTGAACATTCCATTCTTGGTCGTTGTTTGGTTGTTCATGAAAAACCCGATGATTTAGGTCGTGGTGGTGATGATGAGTCGAAAAAAACCGGTAATGCTGGTAAACGTTTGGCTTGTGGTATTGTTGGTACTGTTAATCCAGAAAAAAAGTAATTCAATACAACAGACATTTTATTCGATCAAAACTAGTTTAGATCTTCCGATTTCTTTCTATCTTTTTTTTTCTGTTGTATTACACTTAATAAAGATATAAAAATATATTCGAGCTAACTATATTCTATTCTTCACTGGTGATCGTTTTGTCCTTGCAAAGTTTACGTCTTTTTGATTTTTATTTCGATATTTATTTGTTCGAGACATTTATGTAATAAACTATGCATTCGCAAGTCTTGTGATTGTACACATTTACTGGTTATTAATTGATTTTTATAGATTACATCTGTTTTTAGATTGGAATAAAAATGTTTATTCCAAAGTTTGGTAAACTATGGACTGTATCATAGAAACTGTTGGAGTTTTTTCTTTGGATAGACAGAAGAGGAAATTGATCGATGAATGAATTTTTGTTTAAGTTATGGATATTCTGATAGACATTCAGTAGAATGATACGTATATTGACATATTATGTGTGAAAATATATTTAATTTTTGACAGAATTATTGATTATGTATAAAGTAATCTTTAGTTTTTAGATAAAGAAAAAGAAAATTTCTTTTAAAAGAATGCCAAGTCAACAAGATACAGCAATAATTCGAGCTGTATGTGTTCTTAAAAATGGTGAAAATAATAATATTCAAGGAGTTATACGTTTTGCTCAAATGATTGGTCTTAATCAAATGAAAATAACAGGTGAATTACAAGGTTTACCAACTGGTCGTAAACTTACTTTTCGTATACATGAATATGGAGATTTATCAAATGGTTCTATATCAACTGGTAATCGATTTAATCCTGAACAGAAAAGCTCTAGTTTATCAAAAGATCACACGGTGAATGTCGAAGGTGAATATGGAAACTTACAAATTACTCCAGAAGGTCATGCTAAAATTGATATTATTGATAAACGTTTAACTTTATTTGGTCCTTCTTCTATTATTGGACGATCAATTGTAATTACTGATGAAAAAGAAGAAGATTTTACGCGAATAGATACTGAAGAAAATAAAGGAACAGCTACAACAAATACTAATCGACTTGCTGCTGGTGTTATTGGTATATGTCCATGAATAATCTCATTATACAGATACATTTATATTTGATATTACATTTACAAATAATGAATTCCGTCCAATTTTTTTGTTCCAATTTTTTCTTTTTCTTATAATTTCCATGAATAAGTTTTACAAAAATATCATTTGCATTTTTTAGACAAAAAAAAGTTTTTTCATTTTTTTTTCTCAATGGCTTCATCAGATAAAAAATCTCGAAGTCCTGCAATAATTCCATCTCGTGCAGGTTTGTTCTAGAATAGAAATTAAAAAATTATTATTTCTATAAATTTTAGTTGGCACACCTATCAACAATGGTAATGACGAACACAATGCACATCAAATTATGGAACGTGCTCTTTATGAACTTACTCAATTAAGTCCACAAAAACAAGCTGCAGTCGGTGGCCTTTCAGGCATGTAAGTTATATTCAATACTTACATAAATCAATTTGTATTCACCTTCTCAATATTTTAGAGCAGCTGGATATTGTTTTGCAAAAGCCAGTAAAGCTGTAGCATTCACTATTGGTGCATCAATTCTTGGTTTAGCTGTAAGCTTCTTTTTATTTTTAATGATGATGATAAATTATTTTTTTAATTTAGATCGCCACACAATCTGGTTATATTGATATTCATTTTGATCGACTTCGTGATACAGCACAACAACAATTGAATCATATTCAACGTGCAGCAAGAACAACTCTTCCAACTACAACTAATGTAGATGGAGAAGAAATTGAAACATTTGTTGATCAATCATCAAATAGTATTACTGATTCAGTATGTTTTATTTAATTTTAAATTCATTGCTGTTTTTTTCTTTATTTATAATCTTTAGATAAAACATTTTGCTGTAGCAAATTTAGCTATTACATCTTCATTTATTGGTGGTTTTTTACTCGGTGTCGCTTTTGAATAATAATATACATTTAAATTAAGTTTTGAATGAAAATGAAAGATATTAGCTATATTCTTTTGTATTTATTTTTTTTTGTCAATCGTATAGTTTATAGAAATGTTGACATAGAGCAAAAAAACTGAAACAATATGTATTTTTTTCTCTCTTTTCTTTTTATTTAAAAAAAATTCAATTAAGAAGATAAATAATTGTAGATTTTCATTTATTCGAAACGAGATTAAAAGAAATAAGAAATATGTCTAAACATTTTGATCAATGGAAACACGATGCATTAGCAGAAGATAAAGAAGATTTATCACGGAAACATTCCATAGATGATTATATTGTTAATTTAATTCATCAAATTAATAATCATAATGATTATTATACAAGTTCATCATGTTCCGGACGAACAATTGTTTTTACTTCATCACCAGTTGTAACATCATCAACAAAAAGTGATTGTAAATGGTTATATGTTACACATGAACAAGCAGATATAAATGCAATATTGGATTGTTTAGAACAACGACCAAAAGAAATTGATATGATTTCAATAAAATTTGAAGCTTTTATTTTACATATTATATGTCGAACATTAGAATGTGCAAAAGTATTACTTAATATTGCTCTTGAATGTGGATATAGAAATTCCGGTTTAGTTATGTCAAATCAAGGAAAAATTACACTTGCAGTACGTTCAACACATGCACTTGAAGTACCAATTGTAATTGGAAGAGAATTATGTGTTGATCAAGATTATATAACAAAAATTGTATCGATTGCAAATGAAAAAATGACTGCGAATATGACAAAAATTGATAAATTTACTTCATGTGTTAATAAGAAATTAGGAGCAACATAAAATCTTATTTATCAATCGGAGACGACAAGTTTATTTTCGTTTTCAATCCAGATTTAAGTTTATTTTCACAAATATTTGGCTGTTCTTTGTTTATGACCAAATAAAAAAATCAAAATTTCAGTTATCATTCTTCATCTACTATCTATATAAGAAAAATTTCATAGTTCATCGTTATCGATGCTTTTATTATCATATATTTTTGAATATAGAACTGTGATATCTTCTGTATTGACATTGAAAAGTGCAATGTTAATGAAATATTTGTAAGAAAAAATAATTATTCTTTTTTTAACTTGTCTTTAGAAAAAAGAAATTTCTAATATAACACTTTTGAAGTAAATATATGTAGCGTAAAACTGTTATTATTTTAAATAAATTACACATTTTTAAAACTGAACGAGACAAAATTCAATTCAATTAAAAATATTATGTTTACAAAAAGTTTTTAATTGTACTTAAGGCATACCAATGATTAATGACAGTAACACTTTAATACCGTATAGTAAACTTAAAGAAAGATAGAGAACTGTAATTTTTACTGTTGGAAAGAGGAGATGAAGACATATCGAGTAATACATTCCAGAATTTTCTAATGTACCATTTTGTAAGTACAATGAATTTTCTAGTTATCAAGTATAAATTCGTAAAGTACGAAAAGACTAAATAAATAATGTATGTTTCAGTCAAGCGTCTAATACAATTTTCTAACGAAATTCGTGAAAAAATCCCTATTTTGTGCCGATTTGTTTTCCCATAAAAAAACTATTTTTCTGCCAGTTAGAAAATTGAATAAAAAGCTTTAAGAAATCACATTAGAAAAAAACATGTAGTAAACGATTCAATGCATCCGCAGATTGTTATCTTATTTTTGTCAATAATTATTCAAAAAATACGGATTAGTATTTATACAACCGGTATGTATACAAACAAAACAGATCCTATCGAAAATTTATTATTATGAATTAGTGAGAGTATAATCAAATAGCTTAGAAAAATAGAGCATTTTTTTTTCTTCTATCAGATTGTATAGAAAAAAAGTTTGTTTAACCCTTTCGCTTCCGCATTATTTTTTGTTGGATTGAATTCAAGTAAATCGTTGAATTAGCTTCTTCTAGACATAAGAGTATATGTTAGACATATCTCATATGTTCCCACAAGTGATTAGTCGATTTACGCAATATCAGTTACATTGAACTCTATTAGGCTGAACGACAGTTTTAACTGTTGAAGTTTATTAATTGCAAAACTTATACAGTGTTTTTAAGAAATAACAAAAAACAATTTTTATGCTGTTTTACACATAAAGAAATAACACAAAAATTGCATTTTATGTTACTAAATGTCGGACGAGCTTTAGTACTGCAATATCCACACCTTTCTTTAGGTCCAGTAACAGGCATATGTGCTAATAATGGAGTTAATAAAGATTTGCTCTTCATTGTCATTTGAATTATAATATCCAGAGGAAGAGAGAAGTAGAATGGAAGATGTGAAAGCGGCGTATATGGCACATGTATTTCGAAAAGATCCTAGAACGCTCTCTATTACTTCCTTTCAAAAGATTATGCACTAATTTTTATGAATTACATTATGAGAAATATAAAAAAACAGGTGTAGCTTTTTTGATACCTGGGAAGCGAAAGGGTTAAGTTTATTATACGGTATTAAATTGCTAGTATCATTACTTTTGGTATGTCCTAAGTAAGTCAGTTTTTATTTCTAACTAATCGTTAATACTTTGATAAAAATAGTTCAACTAATTCTTTTCAATAAATTATTGAAGATATTTTTGTATGAGATAAAAGAACTGAAATGACAAAATTTCACACCCTTTGAATAAAATATATTTTTGTTAATTAAATTTATAAGCTAAATATATATTACGGACATTTTTTAATTCTTTTCATTATTGAAATTGCATTAATTATTCTACTTTTCATCTTAAAATAACTGAAAATCTTGTAGGAACATGTCAACAAGACCTTCGTAGTGCTTGATTATAAAAGAATGTTATTATTATGCTATAGATTGAGAAATAAAATATTCTGATTCAATTACATTTTCTTTCTCTAATATTAAAAATACTTAAAATAACTTTTTACTGATTATATTGTGATTTTATTGATCAATAAATTTTTCTATGGCAAATATAAAATCATAAAAGACATTCATTCTAACATGTTTTATCTGAATTTTCAAGTTTCTAATTATATAATAGCTTTTAACACAATCAGAATTAATATATACAAATCTATTAACAAGTTTCAATAGCATATGAATAATTATGAGAGCATTTTCTGAATAAATGTAAAGCATTTCAAATAATTGTATCAGATATAACTATATGTTCTGATAGAGTAACGTCTACTCTTTGTATGAATTTAATCATAGTTTTGTATTTGAAGCTTTTCTTCAAAGATCAAGTCTATTGAATAAATATTAGTCGTCACTTTTGTGTATTCTACAAAGATCTATTATTCTTTTTTTTTATGTTAATATCTTATATATTGTTTAATGAGTTTTAATAAGTGTTCAATGTTGCAATCAGAAAATTAACTTCACACTTTCTGTACTAGAACATTATTTTTCACAATTATATCTTTATCACTGCGGTATGAAATGTGTTAGTCACTAGAGTATATTTTCGAAAAAAAAATAGTTTCAGTCGGTATTTCAACTATATTGTCAATATAAAATCACATTTTTTCAAAAAAAAAGAATTACATATTCTTACAGTCCATAGAGTTTTCTAATATTTTGTATAGTTATGTTTTAGTTTACACTTACAAACTATTAAAAGAAATTGAATGCAATGAACGCAATTTCATGGTTAGATTCTTCAGTATGTGATTTTGTTAATGTCATCGAAATAAGTTTTTCATCATTGGATAATTACTTTTTCTTAAATAAATTATATATTCCAATACCACTTGAAATTCTATCTTCCTTTACATATATTTCTCTACTTTCTTGTACTTATTTATTGGCTAAGTAATTAGAACATAACAAAAACATCCGCAGTCGACAAGTGCAAAAATCTGGTATGTTATATATTTTTTCAAATTAAAGGAGTTACCTCCGACTAGAACCATTCATAACTGGTAAAAACTCGTCCCTAACTAATCGCTGAAGAGATATTAATAAAATATGAAAAAAAATGACTATGTATAGAATAGAAGAAAAAGAAACATTCAGAACAAATGATTCACACTGTAATAATTCTTTTATATATTGATGAAATAATTAAACTGTTAATTGAACACTAATTAGAATTAGTTAAAGAAAGATCTAAAGGGGATAGTTTTGATGGAATGAATTCATTAGAGACAAATATGGTCCCAGTCGACGCACTTCTAATTAAAGATACACAAGTAATTATGCATTCCGATAGAGCTTTGAATTCTCTGTGATTCCATATATTTTTATACTGAATAATAATTCGAATCCTATTTGAACATCTTTTGTCGATGGAGAATATCTTCATTATATTCCAATTATTCTATCGATCAATAAGTGCAAGAAAATAGACAAACAAAATATAGGAAGATCAAGAATTTCAACCGCTATCAGAATATATCATTACTTTTTTTTAAAAACCTAATTTTCTAATGAGGAAAAATCTATTTTGATGCCTTTAACAAAATCAAATACTTGAGAATCTAACCATAAAATTGCGTTCATTACATTCAATTTATTTCATTAATTTGAAAGTGTAAACTAAAATGTAACTACAAAGTATTAGAAAACTCCATAGACTGTCAGAATATGTAATTAATTCTTGAAAAAATGTAGTAATATATTGACAATATATTTGAAGTACCGACAAAAATTATTTTTTTGCCGGAGGAATAAATAATCAAGTAGATTCTCAACACACTAAATGAATGAAGAAATTACAATAAATCATATAATTCTATTAACAAGAAACAATAGTATTTTTCTGTGTACAGTACGTAGGTCCAATTCTTGCCCTAGAATATTAATAGACTTCCGCTAAACAGAATTCCTCTAAGTGTTCAGACGTGATAGAACTTTTATATGAGGTATAATTATCCTTATAGCAACTATTGTGTAGAATCAATTCATTACCATACAGAAATTTTATAATAAACAAGACACTGGATTAGATATTTAAAGAAAATTAAATCGAGTATATATAAGATTAAAAACAAGGAATTTATTATAAGTTTCAAATCAACCGTTTTATATGATGTATGACTCTTTTCTATTTTGAAGTACAGGTTTCTTGAGTAAATATTTCATTTACACAAAGTGTATATTGTTTATTAAAGTATCACTACATTATTATGCTCTACATAATGCGATCATTACACTGTATGTAATGCCACCTATACAGAGAGTGAATAAAATATCAATTTAGTATATACCATCTTAATAGAAATATAAAATTATCATAGAATTTCAATATTATTCATAATGTTAAGATCGAGGGACAACTAATTTATGATATTTAACCAAAATTATTTTTATTAATAAATACAAGAATACCTACAAAAACTCAATCATTTTTTAAAATCACATTTAAAAATAACTTCGAACATGACAAACTATGACCTCAATATGACTTCTTTTTATTACACAATAATATTCATTGACGTCAACAGTCTATCAGAATTAGATATGTACGGTAACAATAATGTGCTTTTAAAAGAAATCAGACTAATATTAATATATTTAAAAAGCAATGAATTTTCCCTGTATTAAAAATCGGAAACATATATACTTCGTCAACTCTATAATTTGATCTTATTGCTGTCATTTTTCTCTTGACTAAATAGAAAGCTAGCGATTATTTTTTTCGGGGTTAAAAAAATAAATATATTATCATTCGTTCCATATCAAAGTGATCGCAACCAAGTTTTATGATAAATTTTGATTCCTTTTAATAGATCATGTACTTTACCAGAAAGGATCAAAAGATCTTTATGTGACAGGAAAAAAAATTATCATGCTGTTCAGTGCTATAGTTAATCTGTATATTTTTTACTTTAGTCGTAACGTTTAGTAAAAAGATCAGACATGTCACTTTCTAAATATCATAAGATAATTTTATAAATTTTCCTCGAATCATAGACATTGAAAAAGAATATAATTTTTTTTTTAATTCTGATTATATTTTCATACGTTAAGAAATATACGAAGTAATTAAATTTTAACTTATAAATGAACAAGAAAGAAAAGGAAGTCCTTTTGATTCTTTTTTTTTGCTATATAAATTAAATCTTTATGGTACATTGATTAAATTTTTTATTTTCTAATAAAATAGTGTTTTGCTAAGATGATAATGTAGTTTCCTGACTTTCTCATCATTTTTCAATTAGAAAAATGCATATGTGATACGCCCTCGAATGTACTCTACAAAAAAAGATTATATTGGCTGCTATTCATAGTAAATATAAATTTTTTTTCAATTGTCAAAAACACATTAAAAGATTATTTTTCTCTTTTCCTATTTTACAAGAATTATGTTTTTTCTAATTTTATCCGGAAAACTCTTATCAGTAACTAAATTTCCTTCGTTTTACTACATAAAAAAAACACATAATAATAACCGGAGAGAGAGAGAGAATAAGAATGAATGGAACTAGTATGGTATTTACGCTTTCAAATTCTTCTTATTTACTATTATGAGAAAGAAATATGTATATAGATTCACTTAGTTTCTCTTAAGAATACATTCAATTCTATATCCTTTTTCTTTTTGGTGTGTACTTGAGAAAACCAAATGAATAGGACTAAATCCAATCAGTTGACATATTTACTGAAAAGAAAATAAATGCTTTAGTAAAAGACAAAGTAAACTGATAGATAATAGAAAGAAATCAAGAAAAAAAAAAGAAGAAGAAGAAGAAAAGAGAGAGAGAGAAAGCAACAAAAAAGTAACACTCCCTTTTCTAAAAAACACTGTCAGATAATAATTTACGCCTTTGCTTTCTTATTCTCTTTTTTTTCCTATTTTCTCTTGTGTATTAATGTCATTATATTGTGTTGAATTAAACTTGAGACAGTAACTTTTTTTAGAAATCTCATCTATTCTGTAATAATCACGTTAGAAATATGTCTATATCCAGCAGTCTTGATTTTGACTGTAATCTTACTACTATATTCATTGTATTCATATGACCTCCGCATGACGTTATGACATACTATATTTGTTGTCTACACTCATATAGAAAACATGCAAAAGTCATCATTTCCCGTAGGAATCGAATTGACTCGAAACTAAGTAGGCTAACTAATTTAACATGATGAATTAATGGAAGACTTGAGAAAGGTAAAGAAACAGGTAAGTCAATGTATTATTTAGCTAAGGAAATGAATAAAATGATGTAAATACCAATAGGAAGAGAATATAAATATAGAAGATAACAGAATGATTTCTCTTATCATAATCAAATTCAGAAAACGATATACCAAATATTTCTACTTACATGTTATATGATTATTCTAGATTATGAGTATTAATGAAACTAATACAAACGGAACATCAGATAGTACAAACGATGCAGCACAAATGCTTCTTCGTTTATCTATTTGGTCATTACGTATTGTATGTCCATTCATTATATTTTTTTGTCCAATTTCAAATTGGGCATGTATAAAAATATTTCAATCTCGTATCTATGCTCGATCATCATCAAAATGGTATTTTATATTTATAGCTATATTCGATACAATTTACGTTGTTGTTACAGCATCACTTTTATTATTACTAACATTAGAAATTTATATTCTTAATATGCATGTTTTATCATGTAAAATAATAATTTTTTTAAATTATTTATCTTGTCAAATCTCAGCTGGTTTATTAGCATGTTTATCTATTGATCGTCTTGTTGCTACATCATGTATATCAATGTATCGTCAAAATTGTACAACAAATTTATCAAAAAATGTTTGTTTTGCTGTTATAATTATTTTTTCAATTGTTAATTCACATTATTTATTTGGTTATACAATTGGTCCAAAAGGTGGATGTAGTCCAAGACATTATAATTGGTATGATAAGAATTATTCACGTTTAAATATTGT